TAGCTTGTGACCTTCGGGGCTTTCCAAGACAATCCCTGCCCCGAGCCGGCCTCTCCTGAGGATCCATCTACGAACAGTTTCCACGTTGGGGGTTCGGCTGGTTCCATTGTCACCTCCATTTCTGGGGCTTTGGCAAACTCAACCACAAAATCTGCAAGGGCCTGGCCCTTGAGAGCATGTCGAGGTCGAAACAGTATGTCGAACTCACTAAGCTCGATCGCCCATTTTAGCGAGGGTCTTGATGCGTCTGTTCTCTGCAGTACTTGCTTCAATGGGAAATTGGTGAAAACTTCAATTGAGTGGGCCAGGAAGCATGCCTTAGTTTCCCTGAGCTGTGATGAGAGCGAGTGCCAATTTCTCCATGTCTGGGTAGCCTGTTTCAGTTGGGAGGAGTGCTTTGCTGACATAGTATACTCATAATTGGTCCTCATTTTCTTTCCTGACTAGGACAACGCTGACCGCCTCATTCGAAACCGCCAAGTACAGTAGTAGTGGCTCTTTCGGTTGAGGTTTTGACAACAGGGGTGCCTCTCCTAGGTGCTTCTTCAGCATTTGGAAGGCTTCTTCGCACTCAGAAGTCTATTGGAACTTCTTTCCTTGCTTCAGCACATTGAAGAAAAGTAAGCTCTTATCTGTAGCTCTGGAGATGAAGGGACTAAGTGCTGCTATTCGACCATTGAGGCTTTGGACCTCCTTTGGTTTCTAAGGTGACCTCATTTCAAGTAAGGCCATTATCTTCACTGGGTTCGCTTCGATTCCCCTTTGGTTTACAATATATCCCAAAAACTGACCTGAAGCCACTCCAAAGGTGCACTTGAGGGGGTTCAGCTTCATTTTATATTTTCTAAGTATTCGAAAGGTTTGGTCGAGGTGACTTACATGTTCGTCGGCCTGAAGGATTTTGTCTAGCATGTCGTCCACGTAGACCTCCATGGTTCTGCCAATGAGTTCGGCAAACATCATGTTGACCAGCCTTTGATATGTAGCTCCATCATTTTTCAATTCGAAGGGCATGACTTTGTAGCAGTACAATCCTGTATCTATGATGAATGATATAGCCTCCTCATCGGGTCGAAACATGGGTATTTGGTTATACCCTGAGTATGCATCCATGAAGTTCAATAGTTCATGTCCGGCTGTGGAATCCACAAGTTGGTCTATCATTGGAAGCGAGAAACTGTCTTTAGGGCATGCCTTATTTAAGTTCGTGAAGTCTACGTACACCCTCCACTTTCTGCTAGGCTTCTTCACCAGGACCCGGTTGGATATCCACTTCGGATAGATGGCTTCTCTGATGAAGCTGCTGCGGCTAAGTTTGTGTGTTTCGTCTTTTAGCGCCTCATACCGTTCCGGGTTGAGGGCACGTCTTTTCTGCCTATGTGAGGCATAGGAGGAGTTGATATTAAGATGATGACAACTGATCCTTGGATCTATTCCCACCATGTCTTCATGCTTCCAAGCGAAGACATCTAAGTTCCTTTTCAGGAAGCTCACCGTTTCTTCTTTTGCTTCGGGAGACAGTGCCTTTCCTATTCGCAGGACCTGACTGGGGTCCTCTGGGTTGTTGAAGAAGGTTTCAAGTTCTTCCATTGGGGTTGCATTTGGCTTGGAGTCAATGATCCAGGGATCTAATTTATCAAGAGGGTGCCCTTTTTCGGGGCTTCTTCCATGTCGACGTCTTCCTCCTGTTCGGAGGTATGCCCTTATTCAGGGGTGTCGAGCATTTCCACGTCCAATTGGGTTCACTGGCAACTTCAGTTATGATCACATTAACAATTCAAGGCTTCGATTCTCGCAGAGAGTTTAAGTAACATGCCCTGGAGCCTATCTGGTCACCTCGGACCATGGCAATCTCATGTTCAGTTGGGAATTTCATATACAAGTAGTGGATGGAGGTGACAGCCCAAAGATCTTTCAAGCCGGGTCTTCCCAATACTCCATGGTAGGCTGATATGTGGTCTACCACCAATAATTTCATGAAGCGTTGGGCCACTAGAGAGGCTGAACCCATCTTGACGGGCAGAGTAATCCTCCCTCATGGGATGATGCTGTCTCCAGTAAATCCGAACAGTGGATCGGTCATGGAAATCAATCCATGTTCAATTTGCATCTTTTCGAAGGTGAACCGAATAATATATTAATCGAACTGCCATTATCGACGAGCATGCATTTGAGCCCGTTTCTTGCCACAATGGCTCTCACAACCAATGCGTCACAATGGGGGTGGTGAACTCCTTGTGCATCTTCCTGGGAGAAGGTGATTGGGACCATCCTATTGGCCACTTGGGACTCATTGATAATGTAGGTGAGCATTGGCAGGTCCTTTACTTTCCTTGTGTAATTTCTTTGGGTGTTCCTGGTGTTTGCCACCGATGTGAGGTCCCCAATGATTGTGTCGATCTCCTTGATGATTTGGCCTCCAGAAAATGGGGCCTAATCTCTCTGTCTGGACTCTCCTCGATCCCTTGATTCTCTTCTCCGGAGTAACTGCTCTCTATGCCTTCTCTCTCCCCTGTTCGGGGAGGCGGATCTGCGAGGGTATTTGTTCCTCCTGGAGGGATGTGGGTCGCTCCGATCCGAGCGTCGAGGAGTGTCTCTTTACTCATTGGTGTCATGCCCATAGAGTTGGTGGAAAGTGCAAAACCTTGTCCCTTACAAGGGCCTATTTGACTGCTTCTTCTTCTTCTTCTTTTTATTACTATCAGTTCCTCCAGATGGTCCTGCTCCACTAGGAAAATTCTCGTACGCTAACACCGGCACTGCATTTAGCATGGTCGAAGCCAATGCCTGTGCAGAGGTGGGAGCTATTATATGACCTACTTGAGTCCATTGCTGAGTGACAAGGTGCACTGCGGGTCCTCGACCTACCTGCCTTTGAGGTGAAGGGAGTCCCTGCACGTCACGGTTTCAGTGATCAATCATCTCTTCACTGACGATCTCAACTCTCATCATTTCTCCCAGTTCATCATAAGTGGTGGGATTTTTGTTGCGCACATCCTTCCAGAACAAAGTGTTCATATTGAGGCCACCTTTCAAGGCTGAAAGGGCTTTTTTTTTAGTGACCTGCTCACAATACGTGATTTCGTCTATAAACCTGACGAGATAGCTTTTCAGCATCTATCCAGGGGCCTGCCTCATATCTTGCAGGCATTGTACCGGGGCCTTTCCTTCTCCGCGTGAGAGGTACTGGTTCAAGAACGCCTTTTTCAGATCCAGCCAACTCCTAATGCTCAGGGGAGGAAGTCTGTTGTACCACTCTTCAGCAGCTCTGCTTAGGGTTAAGTGGAAGGCTCTGCACTTCAAAGTAGGCGAGACTCCCCTGAGGCTCATCCGTGTCATGTACTTGGTGAGGTGCTTCTTTAGGTCCCTCTTTCATTCATACTTAGGGATCTTAGGGGGCATGAAATTCGCAGGCATTGGGAAACTTCGAATTTTCCTTGAGAAAGGGAGGTTATTATCATCATCGTCAATTTTATAAGATCGACAAGGCCCATCTGACCCTTCATCATCTTGGATGTTCTGGGGAGGTAGAGATGCTACTCCTCGACAGCCCCAATCAACTAAGTCCCTTCTCTCATTCCTATTTCTAGGAGGAGGAGATGCTTGTTCTTGCTCCTGTTTTTGTCGAACTGATCTTCGCACTGAGCGTACCCTACTACTAGGGCCTGTCCTATTCGGTCGAAGACGCTGGTTGACCTTTGTGCTTCATATTCTTGAGGAAAATTGTCCCCCAATTGTGGCTCTGCTGGCTAGCTCCCTTGCACATATGATGTGGCTTTTGCACCCTCTTCTCTTTCGAGGGAGCACTCTCTGTGCTGGCTCACATTGCCTCGGGAACGAGATGCTGGGGCTTCCTAAACTAGGTAAGATCCTTGGGGCATTTGAGAGCCCTGGTGACCTCAGGCTTGCATGAGAAGTTCATGAATCGCTATATTCTGGGCTGCGATGTCTCTCATGCCTGCATCTATTTGAGCCATTCCTTCAGTGAGCATGGCTATTCTTTCACCTTGACGACGCTGGTGATGGGGTCTCTGGTGAGTGACATTGTTATGGAGCACCTCTTCTTCAGAGGCCTCTTCATAGGGTTCTCGTCTTCATGGCTGTAACTCATCCTATCTCCTTTTTCAAGGGTGATAAGAACTTGGATTATAACTCGACTTTGCTCTTTTTCAAGAACGTACCCTTTTCAGGGTAAGTCACTAGTTTTCCGGTGGTTTCTCCGGTGGAGAATGCAGAACTTTGGACGGGAAGTGTTCCCACAGACGGTGCCAATCTGTTGACCTCGTAAATTGGACCCTCCACGTGGCCAACCGATAGCTACTCCACGTAATCCTCCCTGCGCACAGTCAACGCACAACCAGATGCACACGGTCGAAACCAGTGGGGGTGGTGGCAACCGCATACACTCCGACGGTTAAGTTAGCCTCAGGTGATCGGAACAATACCAATGTTGTGCAAAATAGTGGGGAGGAGAATATATATTTGCTTGTTATGAAAAGCTATGTTGTAAGAGTTTCATTACCTTTGCCTCTTGTCAAACCTTGGGTATTTATAGGTGAGGAGAACCATTAGATGTGAGACACGTGTATGCATCTGACGGTGTGAGGCATCTGTTCATAGGCGTCAATTAGCCACGTCTATAGAGTGGACGGGTAATTACTTCTCCTGAGTTGAGTTGACATAAAGTTGATACGTCACATCAACTAGGCTTATGGAGATGTCAAATCAATTAAACCTTGGGGGCAGAAAGGATCTTGACATAAATCTCTTTCTGAAATTGGCAGCAAATCCTCTGACAGAAAACCTCGGAATGTACTGCACCTCGGCTTCAGGGACGAGGGCACTTCGATCGATTCAGTAGATTGTCTATGCCTTGCAGTACGTTAGCAGATCGATAACATTGGTGGTGGCGTCACTTCGGAACCACTTCGGATGGGTGTTGAACACCTCGTATGACGTGGAGGGAGACTTTTCGAAGTGTTTCAGATAGGGGCGTAACAATGGCAACATATGGTGAGAAGCAAAAGAAAGCAAACATCTATGTCTATGATATGGGAACTGGAAATTTGAAGCCGGAATCTAACTATCTGGCCACCATTAAAAAGTCGATATCGCGAGGCTGGGGACTAATGAGGTCAAAAACCTATCGAGAAAGTGTCGATCGTGGTGGATTGAAGGCGGCAAAAGAGGTGGCAGAATCAAGAAAATTAGTTTCACATGTGGAAGTGAATGCAGGATCAGTGGCTGCATTTTTTCAAGTGAAAGTGTTGGTTAGTGATATATATGCCAGGGTTCATGCAAGTCCATGCCTTCAAATGTGCAAGAAGAATTTATGACAGTTTGGAGAAGTTTAGCCCTAATTACATGACTTACAACATGACGAAGGTTGGTCGAGAAAATTATTTATATTTATATCATTATAATGTTGTTTTCTACGCAGATATCGAATTCATTTCTCGTTAATAGCCTGACACGTAGAATTTTTGTATACAAATTGCGTAACAGAGAATTGATCTTAAGAGTTTTGTGAGTTCGACTCTTTACCAGAAATTAAAATTGTCACAAGATAAATAGATATGATTCATGTAATCATATTTCGCTTTATAATCCCTTTTTTTTTTAAATACTAGGAGATGAAATTAATTTTTTGTAATCTCGTGGTCGGTAATCTCTTAAATTGCCCCCTTGTTGGGGATGCCAATTCGGGGGTTATCTTTTATTCTTAATCAGCTGTGGTTTTGTAGTTTAACGTATCAAATATGTTTATTTGCGTTGATAGTCGAAAAAATAAATCCTAGCTGTTGACATCTGAATTCCGATCTAATAAAAACAGTTCGTTAATCCCACCTCAGTTAAATGTGAGTTCGGTCCTTACTACCAGGTCGGACAATCCCGCCGTTATCTCAAAAAAATCATGATTACCCCCTATCACATCACCCTATCAATCAAATACACTTGCTACAGGTGAACAACCAATCCTAAGTCCTCAACCTCCAGCCCCTTGCAGGTCATCATTACCTGGGGAAAATATTGACACATGGCTACCGGCCTCATCGGCCAATCACAAGAGAATCCAGCGACCCGAATTCTGAGCTTGGTACTGTTGCTGATTGACTGATTTGATGTAATGTCAGCTGAAACTATGTATAAATAGTTGAATAAGACTCTTGTAAAGGGTAAGTGATTTCATACAACAACTCAATGCATAATTACACTCTCTAAACATATTTTGTAGTTTTTTTTTTCAACAATAAATCGTCCTTTTTAATCTTAAAGTTGGCTTAAGATTAGCCTTGCTAATTTTGACGTCAACAGTTTGGCGCTAGAAGGAGGGCTTTAATTGTGAAAAATAGTCTCATTCTCTTCACAAAATTTGAGAGCCATGAGTCGTAGCTCAAGTTCCAGAAATCCATTTCACACCCACCCTCATGAAACGAATACACCACCAAGTTCTCCATGACGGCAGGACCCTCAAACGACTGCCATGAGGGAAACCTATACTAGCCATCAACGCAACTCCCTGGGAGTGCATAAGGCAAATGTATGGGAATTCGAGCTCATTCCACTAGACCCGTGGACCAGGAAAGAAGGAGGAGAACTCGTTGAAGAACTAGAAGGAGTTCAAGTCTGTGCCAAAGACCCAACAAAGGAGCTCAAAGTGGGGCGCGAGCTGTAGCCATCCACCCAAAATGAAATTGTGGCCTTCTTAGACAAAACCTTGATGTCTTCGCCTGGAATCACGGAGACATGAGAGGAATAGACCCCAACATCGCATGCCACAAATTACAGGTGGATCCTTCAGTTCGGCTAAAGCAGCAAAAATGACAACCTCTGAACCCTAAAAGATATGAAGCATTCAACAAGGAGGTGCAAAAACTGTTGCATAACAGTATCCTCCATGAGACCAAATACCCGAAGTGGGTCGTAAATCCGATCCTTGTGAAAAAACACAACAGAGATTGGAGGGTATGCATAGACTTCACCGACCTCAACAAAGCATGCCCAAAAGATAGTTTTCCTTTGCCAAGAATAGATCAAATGGTGGACGCCACTACCGGACACGAACTACTCAGCTTCATGGACGCGTATTTCGGATATAACCAGATACCGATGTATGGCCCAGATCAAGAACATACCTCGTTTGTAACTGACCGAGGTCTTTACTGCTATAGAATAATGCCATTTGGTCTCAAAAACACTGGTGCGACCTACCAACGACTAGTGAATTTCATGTTTTCCTAACAGATCAAAAAAACAATGGAAGTGTATGTTGACGATAAGCTGGTCAAAAGCATCAAGGCCAAGGATCACTGTCAGCACCTGACCGAGGTGTTTGATATACTGAGGAAGTATGAAAAGAAGTTGAACCCAAGGAAATGTGCTTTCGGGGTCAGCTCTAGAAGATTCCGAGCTCACATTGTGAACAACTGAGGAATCGAGGCAAATCCTGAAAAATACAAGTTGTTATCCAAATGAGGCCTCCAACTAAACTTAGAGAGGTACAAAGTTTAACCGGAAGGATTGCCGCCCTCAACCGGTTTGTCTCCAAGTCTACGGACCGTTGCAAACCCTTCTTTGACACGTTACGAGGAGGAAAGAAGTTCGAATAGACTAAAGAATGCCAGGACGCCTTTCATGAGCTAAAGAGACAACTAGCTCAGCCTCCGTTGCTTTTAAAACCTAAGGTCGGCGAGGTCCTAAAGCTTTATTTATCTGTTTCAGAACACGCCATTAGTGCGGTTCTAACCCGAGAAGAGAATCGTGTTCAACATCCAGTCTATTACGTAAGCAAGGCGCTTCATGAAGCCGAGCTTAGATATTCACCTGTAGAGAAATTGGCATTCACCTTACTAATGGCCGCGCGAAAACTAAGGCCATACTTTTTGGAACACCCCATTGAGGTCCTCACCAACTCTCCATTAAGGCAATCACTACAAATGGGCAGTCGAGCTCGGACAATTCGACATCAAATACACGCCATGTTCCTCCATCAAGGGCTAAGCACTCATTGACTTTGTTTCTGAGTTCTGCAACGTCCCAATCGAGGAACTACAAGAAGAAACCCCATGGAGATTTTATGTCGACTGTTCATCCACCTGAGAACGATCTGGGGCAGGCGTCGTATTAATCAACCCTGAACATCACATATTCTGCGAAGCCTTGCCATTTGCCTTTAAAGCCTCAAACAATGAGGCAGAGTTCAAAGCCATACTTCATACGCAGGCCGATCTAAGGGCGTAAGCACATGTTACCCTTAGTGAGCATTCTTCCTAAGGAATCTTATTGAGTAGTGAGCATTCTTCCTAAGGAATCTTACAGAGCTCTGCTCCATATGCAGATCGATCTAAGGGCGTAAGTGCTGCGACCCTTAGTGGACATTACTCCCAAAGAATCTTACAAAGCCCTGCTACATACGCAGGTCAATCTAAGGCTGTACATGTTACCCTTAGTGGACATTTCTCCTAAGGAATCTTACAAAGCCCTATTACATGCGCTGGCCAATCTAAAGTTGTACGTGTTACCCTTAGTGGACATTCCTCCTAAGGAATCTTACAAAGTCCTGCTCCATACTCAGGCTGATCTAAGGGCGTAAGTGCTGCGACCCTTAGTGGACTTTCCTCCTAAGGTATCTTACAAAGCCCTGCTACATACGTAGGCCAATCTAAGGCTGTACGTATTACCCTTAGTGGACATTCCTCCTAAAGAATCTTACAAAGCCCTGCTACACACGCAGGTCGATCTAAGGCTGTACGTGTTACCTTTAGTGCACATTCCTCCTAAAAAATCTTACAAAGCCCTGCTCCATACGCAGGACGATCTAAGGGCGTAAGTGCTGCGGCCCTTAGTGGACATTCCTCCTAAGGAATCTTACAAAGCCCTACTACATACGCAGGCCGATCTAAGGCTATACGTGTTACCTTTAGTGAACATTCCTCCTAAGGAATCTTACAAAACCCTGCTACATACGCAGGCCGATCTAAGGCTGTACGTGTTACCCTTAGTGGACATTCCTCCTAAGGAATCTTACAAAGCCCTGCTCCATATGCAAGTCGATCTAAGATCGTAAGTGCTGTGACCCTTAGCAAAAATTCCTATTTGGAAATTCTACGAAGCCTAGAAGCATGTGCAGGTCGATCTAGGTTCGCAGAACTTACGAGTTATGTTACATACGCTGACTAGAAGACATTCCATGATTAAAGATTCACGAAATGATGAAATAAGCAATAAAATTTAGACCTCACAAAAAAAAAAGAAAACATGCATTTTCATAAGCATTCAAAATAGAGTACGGCTAATCTTCGAGCACAAACAAGATATCTAATAAGTGTATTTTTACACATTTATTTAGCTCACAAACATGACTTAAACATGGACAAAGCATTTGAATTGTGACTTAATCTCGTTAAGTTTATGAAATGTAGGTATTTCTATGGAAAAGATGGAATTCAGAAGAAAAGAGCCGAAAAGGACCAAAATGGAACAAAGCTATAGTTCGGGGACCAAAGGTGCAAATATTGGAAAGTTGAGCGAAAGTGCAGAACTAGAATGAAAATATGCCAAGTATGAGATTGAGGACGATACAAGACGATCGGAGGAAGAAAGAAATAACATTGAACTGAATTGAAGAAAAGTGAAAGATGAAGGACTAAATTGCAATTAATCAAAAGATGAGCCGAGCAAGTGGTCAAGGAATTGATTGACCCAAATATCAATTAGGAGTCAATATTTGATAATGGAACAAAGGAAAGAAAAAAAAAAGAAAAAAAAAAAAAAAAAAAAAAAAAAAAGAGAAAACGGAGTTCAGTGACCAAAATAACAAGGTTGTAAAGTTACAACCTTGCGGCCGCATGTAACTATACCATGCGGCTACACATGAGGAGGCAGGGATATTATTGGGGCATATCACTTGAACCATGCGGTTGCATGGTTTAACACCATGCGGCCGCATGGCTTTAAAATCCGATGAAAATTCTGAACTTCCGTTTTTAATTGAAACTCTTTCGGGGCTCCGTGAGGACATGATATAAAAGCCAAAATTCATCAGAAATAGGGCAGAACATCCAGGGAGAAGAAAAATACAACTTTTGGAGGCAAGGAACACGAACTTGAAGCCGATTTCACAAGAATTCAAGCGGGTTTTTAAGGTTTTATTCAAGATTTCAAGAATTTTCATACGGGTGCTATTCTTTTTATTTATTAATTTCATTTTTTTTCTGTAATTATGAATATTTTAGGCTAGGTTTTCAATTACTAAGTGATCGATGAACCGTTATTTGTTATTTTAATTCCATATTTCATGAATTTAATATAAAGACTCGTTTGGATAATTTGATTGGTTTACATGCATTAATTTTCTTCTGCAATTAGTGGCCAGTGATTGTGTGAGTGTTGATGACTTATTTCTTACATTCGAGAGAAGTGGAATAGGTTCGATAATGTGTAAATTAACATAGGGTCCGATAGTGGATATAGATATACCCCTATACTTTATGTAATTCTTTAATTGTTCACAAAACCACTTGCATTCTTGTATATTTACATCATCCATAGAGATATAGGCTGGTGGTGTGCAAGAATAGGTCTAATATATATCGAGAGAATATATTGGATAGAATTAGGAACATTGAATTGGCAAATTTCCATCGGATCATTAATTTTATGAAATTAGGGTTTTTATAACTTCAATTGAGGATTCGTGATCCTAGTGACTTTAGTTTGATTCATTTCCATAAATTAGCTTTTGAATTTGCATAATTTCATTTACTTGAGTGTTTGAATCATTTAATTAGAGAAATTTCGAAATTACGGTTTCTAATTGAGAAATTAGGGTTTTCAATAGAAATTAGGGTTTTTAATTGAAATTAGGGCTTTTTGCATTTAGACCATATTTTCACTCAATTAGATTCGGTTAAGGCTAGATTATATAGAATTGAACTATTCAATCTCTGAGGGATGATATTCAGACTTTTTAAAATCCACTTTATTACTTGTTACGAACCGTACACTTGCGGTAATTTTAAATCGAAAGAATTATTTCGCAAACAATATCCATAAAGTTTAACAAATTGATCACAAATCCAAAAAATGTCCTAAGAAGAGCTAGGGAGAGGGAG